GGGTACAGCACAGGCACAGTTTAACATACATTGGCAAATAAAATGTGCCAGTCACTTAATCTCAATTGTTGGTTGCCTATTCTATTTGGGATTAAGAGTTTTTTTGTGAATTATTCTACATGCTGGGCATTACCCAGGGTAGGAGTTGCTGATTTGTTTTTGCTTGGTATTTTTATAAAAGAGATGTTTTCATAATTTGACAAAATGTGCATTTTAAGCACAGGATACCTCCATAGTATACTTACTTGTTCATTTGGATCACAACTAGTATGAGATAGGTGCCCTGAGAAAATGGTGGAGAGAAGTGATCTCTGATGAATAAGAATACTGAGAACTTTGGTAAATCATTTGGTTTTAGGTTATAAATTTTCTTGTTTCAGACTGGCATTGCTCGTGTACCACTTGCTGGAGCTGCAGGAGGCCCTGGGGTTGGTAGGGCAGCTGGTAGAGGAGTACCAGCTGGTGTGCCAATTCCCCAGGCCCCTGCTGGATTAGCAGGCCCTGTCCGAGGAGTTGGGGGCCCATCCCAGCAGGTGAGGAACCAGCAGAGGGTTTTATATTATTGGGAGAATGTGACTAAGCTGGAGGCTGAGAAGATTTGAAAACCTAAGTGTACATGTCATACTATGTAAACAGCCTATAGTCTAGGAGGAACTTGTAGACACATACACAGGGGGAAGGGAATAAAACTAGCCACTTAAAATGGCCATGGGGTGATGAAAGCTACCCAAGTTATTCTTGGTAAGAGTAACTTGCCACTAGTGGTGAGTGAACAGAATGCATGGATATACCAGAGTTGAAAAGTTGAAAGGGCTTTTTAGATGTGAGTGGACCAAGATTAGTTTTTAAAATACGGAAATAGGCCTGGTTATTTTTTATGGTATTTTTAAAATTTGAGTTTCTTCGCTGAGTGCAGTAGGTCACACCTGTAATCCTAGCACTTTGGGAGGCTGAGGCAGGCAGATCTCTTGAGCTCAGGAGTTCGAGACCAGCCTGGCCAATGTGGTGAAAACCCCCATGTCTACTAAAAATACAAAAATCAGCTGGGCTTGGTGGTGGGTGCCCGTAATCCCAGCTAGCCAGCAGACCGAGACAGGAGAATCAACCACTTGAACCCAGGAATGGGAAGTTGCAGTGAGCCGGTATCAAGCCATTGCACTCCACCCTGGGTGACAAGAGTGAAACTCTGTCTCAAAAAAACATGGGAATGATGAGAGAAGTACATCATTGCAACAGTTAATTGTATCTAATAGGCCATTTTTCTAATTTATTTTCTGTGTGTGAATAATGTGAAGTTTTGCCTTACTTGTTTCTCGCCCTGTCTTCTCAGGTAATGACTCCACAGGGAAGAGGCACTGTAGCAGCTGCTGCTGTTGCTGCGACTGCCAGCATTGCTGGAGCCCCAACACAGTACCCACCAGGCCGGGGGACTCCGCCCCCACCTGTCGGGAGAGCAACCCCACCTCCAGGTAAGGGACTGGTGAAAATGAAGATGAATTTTGGTCTCTGATGTGAGATAGCTTACTGATTTAAGGCATATCCTGAGAACCTAAGAATTGGGGGAATATGCTTCCCTCTTCTAGATACTGGTTTTCGATGAAAGACATAGAAGAGTAATTGTCATATACAAATTATTTGACTCTATCATTATTGTCTGGCCCATTTAGGGATTATTTGGACTAAATTCTAACAACTTTCCTAAGCTAGTTTATAAGGTCTTTATTTCTGCCATTTTTCACTGCAGGTATTATGGCTCCTCCACCTGGTATGAGACCACCCATGGGCCCACCAATTGGGCTTCCCCCTGCTCGAGGGACACCAATAGGTATGCCCCCTCCGGGAATGAGACCCCCTCCACCAGGCATTAGAGGTGAGTGGGAGCATAGGGGCTGGATGGTTCAGCCAGGCCCCTGAATATCTGTATCCTCTTTTTCTCAATGTTTCTATTTCCTTTCAGGTCCACCTCCCCCAGGAATGCGTCCACCAAGACCATAGCATACTGTTGATCCATCTCAGTCTCTCTCTCCCCTGCATTGCGTCTTCTGAAATTGTGTAGAGTGTTTGTGAGCTTTTTGTCCCCTTGTTCTGCATTAATAATAGCTAATAATAAATTCATAGAGCAATTAAACTGTGAGGTACTGTTGTATATATTTTTTTGCCTGTTGATTTTGATGAGATCTTAAGTTACTGTGGATGAGGTGACGCCTATTAAGCAGCTGATTCAAATCATACTCTCTTTAAAAAGTCTTAGGATAAAAAGGTTTTCTGCTTTCTAACTTTTACTTTGTGCCTTGACTGGTGTTGGTTTAATAATGTTTTCATGACCCAGGGGGTTTAAGTGGTTGTACTGTTTCACACATGGCCTCCTGCTTCTCATGTTGCTTTGTCCCATTATCTGAAGGGAAGTGGGGATGGGATGAAAGGCCTTGTAAGGCCACCTGTATAATGAAGAAAATTGTAATGAATCACACTCCATGCTCATTAAATATGAAGGCGTTTGAAATGGAAGTTACTCTTTTTTTTTTTTTTTTTTTGGAATGTTGACCTCAGTTGATCAGGTTTTACCGTGCCCTATGATCAGAGTAGAGGATGTGATACTGGTATATCATTTTCAACCATTGAGTAAGTGTTTATTTATAAATTACTAAATGAGTGGCAGATCCTGGGTACTTGGAGGCAGGAGGTTGCATATTTTAGTTAATAAGTTGTAATACTGATAGTAAAGATAGCTGACGCACTAAAGCATACTTAGCACACTGAAATACAAATTAACAGTTATGTCCAAGGATATCACTAAGTGACATACAGGGAGCTAAATAGTTCAGGAGTGCCCTAGTATCTAGGTCCAGTTTGAGATGGTTGTGGAACAAAGAAGCCATTTATAAAACGGAAGAAATTTTTAGGCGGCAAGGGAATGATTCGCAGTGATGATAACAGTGGATTTTACCAAGTGCTACAGAGATTGGTGTTAATGCTAACGATACTGATAGACTGATTGGAATTACATTTTTTTCTCTTGAATTTACCAGTAGTGGTTGTGAATGTCACCTTTTCCATCTTTTAAATCACATCCTTGCAGGTGGTAATCACCCAAGGAAGAGGAATTATCGGTGACAACAGTTCCTGTTACTGACTTGATAAATGGTCTCTGCCAAAATAGCTTCAAGGATTAATGGCCACTCTCAGGTAAGGAAAATAAAAAGAGGCCAAGCCTTAGTTGCTTTAGGAGAGTATATAATATAGGAGTGACATCACTGTTTTCAGAATTTATAAATGTTCAAACAAGCTTCTTGATTTACCAAAGCCAGAACCAAAGTACTTTATCTGGATCTTTGAAGGCAGAGCTTCTCAGTTCAGACAAATTAACTGATAAGACGAACACTTTTCCTCTGCAAACTGTGGGGTGGGTAGTATGTAGAGAGACCTGTGAGTTCTTTCTATACTGCTCCTCAAGTACTTATAACTGATTACTTTTTTTTTGTTTTTGGAGGGGAAGCGTTTCTCCTTGCATTGGTGCGCTGATGTAGATGGGCCTTAGATTATGGCATGAATGATTATGCAGCATATTTGAAGAAAACCTGTTTTCAGGATATTTTTAATTGAATATGGCCTGTTACATGAGTTAAAGGTAAGTTTTAAGAACTCTAGATTCTGCAGGATTCTTGCTTCTTGTAGTTATTTTGCTTGGTGATAATACTGTTTTCTTTTGTTGGGAAATTCTGGACTTTTTGAGAATCCTGATTGTGATGATATAATAGAAGAAAACTTTGGTTGTAGATTTTAGTATAATTGAGTGTGGTGAATTTTTTGTTATGGAATGCTAGTCTGTGCTTCTGTATGTTTCCACTAGGGATGCACATCAACATACCAGTCTTCAAATATTCTTGGTAGTTAATGCTTGATGTTACTTAACAACCATCCTATATTCTTGTATTAAAATAAATACATGTCTCATCTAAAACATGATTGGTCAACAACTTTCTGATTTCCTGATATGCATGTTATTAACTGACTCCACAAATATATCCATGTTGCACATCATGTTTGCCATGCGTTCATTGTAGCTTATAGAATAATTTCAAATAGAATTCTGGGATAATTATGCTACCTTAAAATAGGTTATGAAGTATTTGAGGTATTCTGTTTTTATGTGGTGGGTAAACTTGTCTTGGAATTAAAAGGATTTTGAAAGTTGCTTAGGGAGCTCCCTGCTTTTGTGAACTCATTTATCAATTATGATGTCAAATTTCAGAAGTTTGTTATTAACATACTGGTATTTTGTTTCTTTTTTTTTTGAGACGGAGTTTCGCTCTTGTTACCCAGGCTGGAGCGCAATGGCGCGATCTCGGCTCACCGCAACCTCCGCCTCCTGGGTTCAGGCAATTCTCCTGCCTCAGCCTCCTGAGTAGCTGGGATTACAGGCACGCGCCACCGTGCCCAGCTAATGTATTGTAGTTTTAGTAGAGACGGGGTTTCACCATGTTGACCAGGATGGTCTCGATCTCTTGACCTCGTGATCCACCCGCCTCAGCCTCCCAAAGTGCTGGGATTACAGGCGTGAGCCACCGCGCCTGGCCCATTTTGTTTCTTACAGGTTCTTGTAATAGAATATTACAAGTGGGAACTATATAGATAATTACATGAAATAGTGCTGGTTGTCTAGAATTTTCATGATCTTGTTTAAGATATTAGTGAAAACACCCTTTATCTGGTATATTTACCTATGATACTACCTTTACTGATTTCAGCAAGTAGTTACAATCTGTGCGTTGAAGTCTTTATTTACTCATTTATTCGAGACAGAGTCTCACTCTGTTGTGCAGACTGAGGTACAGTGGTGTGATCTCGGCTCATGGCAACCTCCGCCCCCTGGGCTGAAGCGATTCTTCTACCTCAGGCTTCTGAGTAGCTCGGATTGCAGGTGTGGGCCACCACACCTAGCTAATTTTTATATTTTTAGTAGAGACAGGGTTTCACCGTGTTGGCCAGCCTGGTCTCGAACTCCTGACCTCAGGTGATCTGACCAACTCAGCCTCCCAAAGTGCTGGGATTATAGGTGTGAGCCACCATGCCCAGCCATGGGTTGAAGTTTTTAAAGGTATGTCTTTTAGTCAGTAGTACATTGCTTCGTTCTGTCTTACATTTGCATTCCAGTTCTCTTCATCATGTTCATAGACATGTTAATGTTTAGTATATGAGTTTTATGTAATAAAGGAAGGTATATTTTCATGGGATTTTTGTAGTGGGAGAATGACATCTGGGCCTGAAATAGGATATTTGTGTTGCAACTTTTTCAGTGTCATGTGATACCATACTTTGACCACTTAGTTGATGCCTCTGAAAGGAAGAGAATCTGATGGCTAAACTTTGACGTGTCGTCAGTGTGGATCCTACTCAGTAGTGTCACAACGAGGCTGAAAATCGTATTAAGTGCTTTTAGGACAGAAACATAAACTGCTCAGGTAAAATAACATTGTAAAGAAAAATAAGAGTATATTGCAGAGGCCTTGGCTAGATTCATGATGATACAGGACCTTGTCTGAACATAATGATTTCAAAACTTGAGCTTAAAAATGACACTCTGAAATCTAGTCAGTGTGCCTCACTAGACTTTGTGATTTCAAGATTTTCTGCAGAAAATGTTGTGAAAACTTTGAATACATAAAAATGGCAGGTGTAGTATTGCACTTTGCTAGTTCCTCAGATACCCTTTTTTGTTTGTGTAGATACTATGAGTTACTTTTTTTTTCTACATGTTGTACGTTGTTGAAAGCTAAAAAGAAGCTTGCCCTGGATCGCAGAAGGCACAGGCACTTGGTCAGATGGAAACAAGGATGTGTAAAAATGAGACTACCACCTCTCGGATAAAAAAAATAAAAGTGCCAGAGTTCTAGGGTTCTAAGCGTTGTCCAGGAAGGAGGAGGAATAATATTTATGGAGCATATATTATGGAACACAGTGAGTATAGTACATGCTTTTACATGAATACTATTGGCATTTTAGGACAGTTGATTTTGTTTCTATGTTTTTTTCTTTAGCTGTGTGCAGTTGATCAACTTGTACAAAGCCGACAATAGATGTTTAAGAAATACTAAGCATTCAATGAATGGGACGGCAATACTAATTTCTGTAAAGAGAGATATTATCTCACAGCCTAGGTTGGAATTTAGTGCCATTAATATATCTCACTGCAGCCTTGAACTCAGCCCAAACGATCCTTTCACCTCACCCACCAGAGTAGCTGGTACTACAGTCACATGCCAACATGCCTGGCTAATTTTAGTTCTGTAATTTTTTTAGAGCTGAACTCTCACACTGTTGCTTAGGCTGGTCTTGAACTCCTGGCCTCAAGCCATCATTTTGCCTCAGCTCGTATTGTAGGTGTGAGCCACTGTGCCAAGAGCTAATTTTTTTCATGTTAGAAAACAAGTTTTTAGGTATTTTACGATTACTTCTTTATGACAGAATATCTGATCAGAATCTAGGCCTAATATCTGACTTCATACATTTACACCATGAAGTAGTTAGCCATTCCCAAATGCAGGTCATTTGACTTAGTGTTCACCAGCACTTGTTTAGTACCTTGCAGTGTTGTTTACAGTGTATTTCTGGTTATGGTTTTGGGGTTACTTGGTGGTTGTGGTTAAAAAGTAGAAATCAGCAAATGCTGTTGGACTTTACGGGAGTGAGAAGGTCTCTTTTGCACAATGAGGTAGGGAATACTTAATTAAATAGAAATATTTGAGGCTGAGCATGGTGGCTCAAGCCTGTAATCCCAGCACTTTGGGAGGCTGAGGTGGGCAGATCACCTGATATCAGGAGTTTGAGAATAGCCTGGCCAACATAGCAATATTCTGTCTCAAAAAATACAAAAATTAGCCAAGCTTAGTGGTGTGTGCCTATAATCCCAGCTACTCGGGAGGCTGAGGGAGGAGAATTGCTTGAACCTAGGAGCCAGAGGTTGCAGTGAGCCAATACCATGTCACTGCACTCCAGCCTGGGAATAAGACAGATAAGACTCCTCTGGGAAGAAAAGTACAAATTTTTGAGTTAAAAAGTTCAAATGATGGATTGTTAAGCCAATAGAAAGTAGAGTGGTTGGGACTATTGTAGAAATACATGTTGGTAAATGGATGAGGTATTGTACAATAAGGAGGGGGTTGCAGACATGGAGAAATAGTATTTCTAGCTCTTCCACTTTCAGTGTCATCTAGCTGGGTCGTTGGAATTGTTTTGAAATACAATGCTTGCTTGCCCATGAGTTTTAAGAACTAATAATAATGTAGAAATCATTAGTAGGAAAAGCTTGGCTGGGTTAATTTGCTTTGCTGAGATGATTCAACTTGAAGTGAGGTCCATACTAAGGGCCCAAAATTCAAGAAGGACCCTCTATTTGAACTTAATGTTCAGTTAATGTAAATCATTTTCTGTTGAACTAATGAGAATACAGTGACCAAGAGGGTTAGGTAATTGTGTGTCTGAATTGTTTGGACAGTTTCCCCTCTTTTGAATGCCATGTTGGTATAGATATTTTCATTTTATGTTACATTATTTGTTCTTTGGTAGCAAACATTTGAGTTGGAAGGATACAGTTCCTGAAATCTAATGATTTCATGTTTAGGAGGTGGGTATCAGGAATAATAGTGTGAGTTCTCATTATAAAATTTGGATTGTGTTACTTTGCTACTTTGCTGCTTGTCAGGGAAGTTAGTAGTTAGTTTAGGCCTCCTTCAGAATCCTTTTGTTGGACTTTGTGCATCATATGTTGTGTCAGCCTGGATTTTGTTTATCCTCCTTTGTATTTCCATACCGTTTGTTTACACTTAACTCTGGAATATTTTGAAGTATGTTTTCAGTGTACTCTAGTCCTAAAATTGGTTTACATTGAATTATTGTGGAGAATAGCAAGTTGTTGATAATATCAGTGGTGGCATTAGGATATTTCCGTTTCAGTTCTTTGGACAGTTTGCTAATGGAAATGATTATTGTATTTAGCTCTATGAGACCCAGCGTGGCAGATTGGTTGTGCGTGTGTTCGTGTGTGTGTGTTTGTTTCCTTCATGTAGATTGTTGTGTGTTTCCTTCATATAGATGACTGTGTGTGTCTTCATACTTTTCCTTAAATCTGTGTGCTTTGAATGATACTGTTGTTGTTTTTTATCCATAGTCACATAAAACTCTTATCGTTTATTCTTCCAGGCCATGGATTGTCCCTATGGGTAGAGATACGCTGTCTGTAGGGATTAATTTTTTTAAAACATATTTTTACTAGTTGATGGGAAAGACATTGGGAAAGACCTGGGCTGGATTTGTGATGAGCTGTGTTTACTGAGCATGATGAAGTAAAGCTCAATGTGATTACTCTGAAGTCCAGCCTCAGTATCAGTCCTAAGGACTCAGGACACAAATACTCAAGACATAAATTCTTAGACGCTATGTTTCACAAGGCTTTTCATATCAGTTACAGGCTAAAGATAATGGCGTGTTGTAGGTCTTTCCAGCGGAATAGAGGGAAGTTGGTTCTATATCCTTTAGTACAGTTAACCTTTTGTAGAGGGTGTTCTATGTTCATTGCATTGGTATGTCTCATCTTTGGTGCAATCTTGGCTCACTGTGACTCTGCCTCCTGTGTTCAGACACTTCTTGTCTCAGTCTCCAAAGGAGCTGGGATTACAAGCATGTGGTAACATGCCCAGCTAATTTTTGTATATTTTTGTGGAGACAGGCTTTGCCATGTTTGCCAGGAAGGTCTGTAAGTGATCCACCCACCTCAGCCTCCCAAAGTCCTGGGATTACAGGTGTGAGCCACCCGCTCACCCCACACGGCCATACCTTTGCTTATTTCTGCTATGCATTTCAAGTGCTAACTTCAAGAGAGTAAGTACTTGGGAGCTCCCATGTTCTTTTTTTTTTTTTTTAACCCCATCACTTTCATCACCCAGTTCCAACTTTGTATGAAAGTTTCATGAGCATGTTTTTATCACTGAGGCAACTTCTCCATTTAGCATATAATTGAGAAATTGCTAATTTGTGGCTGAGACATTTCTTTGGTTTGAGATGAGACTTGATTTATATTTTTAGTGGAATGCTCAAGTTACATTTACAGGGCTCAATTCTACTTTTAATTAAGTTAACTGCTGTATCTTTAAAAGACATAAGTGGAGATTTAGTTTTGACTCTTAGATTCAGTTAAGGGAATGAAATGGCATTATATAGTTTTTGATGCTGAGCCCCATGGGGATTAAATAAAATACCATGCATTTTTTGAGTTACATCCCTAATCACACATTATTCTATACTCTTATTTTTGCTTGTATGATTGATGGTTCTTTAGTTATGTGTGATTGACATTCTATGAGTAGGTGCTTGTGTTTTGCCTCTAAGTAGTTATTATGAAGGAGGGATGGTGAATTAAAAGGTGATTTAGAAAAGACTATATTAAAATATATGCCATGAACAGTTGAATATAGCAAGATCGTATTATCTAGTTGTTACCTTAGTGGATAAATTCTGTATGTGTTATGTGTATACATATGTATATATTAATGATGTGGGTGCTGGTACTGTGTGACCACATGACAAATGACTGGTTTACAGAGAAAAGCTGTTGGGGTTCAGAGAAATGAACATTCTTTACAAAGTTCTTGTCTTTGAGTTTCTGTTTTTCTGGTAGAAATGTTAGTGTATTTATAACCTCTCAGATTTGTTTGGTAATGTTAGTGTTCCTGATCCAGGCAGTTAGGGATATGTTGGATGAACTGAGAAATACGAGTTTTTCCCTTCCTGCTAACTGAATTAGTTTCTAAACAACCAGGAAGTGGTAAAAAGAGGGAATTAGTGCCAGGTTTGTTGAGGTGTAGTGTTGACAGGGGGTCTATGATCTTCAGATACTTGGTGCAATCTAGAGAATACAGTGGTAGTTGCTGGCTCAGCCCAACCAAACAACCTCATTTGAGGGGTGATACTTCACAGAAGACCTAAAATAAATGCCCTAAAAATAAGAATCTCTGGAAGAGAGAGAGAGAGAGAGAGAGAGAGAGAGAGAGAGAGAGAGAGAGAGAGTGAGAGTGAGTGAGTGTGTGTGTGTGTGTGTGTGTGTGTGTGTGTTTTGGTGGAGTGGTAGGAGGAGGGTTGGATTGATGATGAGATGAATTGGATGACATTTCCATTCCTGCAAAAGGAGTCTGAGGTCCATCCAAGCTAATTCATGATAAAAGCAATTTGCTGAGAGTAGTGAAGGAATGAGTTAGCAGTAGATGGCAAATTACATTAATGAGTAGTAGGAGGAAAACAAGGAAAGAAACAAAGTTTAATGTGGTTAGAGCATGTTCTTCAGTTGTATGGAGGGAGAAAGGTGAATTGAGAATAATACTATGATTGTTTCATTTGTTGGAAATCTGAAAACTTGTTTGAATTGTGGAACAATAGATGTTATATGTTAGGAGTCGGAATTATCATTTACATGCAAGTTTCTGTTTTGCTTCAGAGAAGGAGTTTCAGCTGCCTTTTCCGTGTTAGCTTCTGTACCTTTTCTTGAGGTATAAATAGGTAATACTGTCTTTTACTGAGATTGTTTTAATTAGCAAGGTGTGCTGATTAAATGTATGTTCTTGCTAAATTATTATAAAGGACTATATTTCTAGGCAGCTTTGGTTAGTTAGTGGTTTGTTAAATTGATTGTTGAAAAGAATCACCTGAGGGTTTCTCAACACAGTTTACTGGGTCATGACATTAGCATTTCTGGCTTATTAGGCATAAGTATGAAAAGTTGATTTTTATCAAGTTCCTAGATGTTGCAGATTCTACGAACCACACTTAGAGTGCTATTGTATGTCTTTTACTATACACTGATATAAAAAATGAAATAATCATGTTATAGCATATTTTCAAATGTGATCATGACCAGGGAATCTTCAGAGAAAGTTGTCTTACATAATAATGTAAATCAGCGTAGAATA